AGCACAAGGCTAAAATATCCATAGCAAAGTATATACAACGTAAAATGCATATGTATCCGTGTTCTTCCTTCCACACTTGCAAGTAGATGGAGCTCAGACTGAAACAAGACTAAAACATCCAACATCACTTCCAATTCAGTTTTTTGGCACATGGTATAGTTGCTTATTCTTATTGCGTGGCCAAAGGTTGACCTGGCCAGGAGCAGGATCAAGAGGTAGTTGGCGGGGAGACATGTACACCGGGCGGCAGCATTATCCTTTACTGTAGAACATATATTCAATAACTGATACATGCTATGATGGCACCAAATTCGCGCATTACAAACAGTAAATGTTTTCCTGGGATGAACCCCAGACTGCTAGGAAAACACTGTAACCAGCACAAGCAATTAGCATGACGCATAAAGCTTAGTAATGTTAAAATTAAAAATACTTGCATCTACAATATTGTATCTCTGGTGCTTGCTGCATAGCAAGATCTTGACAATTAGTGTTATTTTATCCCGTCATATTTGGAAATGCAACCGTGTCGCCAACCAAGAATTCAACTATATTATATGATCCACTTACATTTAGTTTTGCTGCTTGAACTCCATGAACCTCGCTTTCAGATCCATGCATGTTTGATGTACTTTAGCATGTTATAAGTCGGTCCAAGTACGAACGATCCCTCGAGGCAATATATAGTACTTGAAACCCCGTCAAATTTGCTTAGTGTACTTCTTCTGCAACTGAAACATGTACAACCACGGAACTGTGATGTGCCATGAGCCAGACAGCAAAGTGAGATACAACCCTATATTCTGTCACAGGAAAATGCAGAGGCATAAAAGTATCTCACAAAGGAGTCTGAAATTACACAAAGGAGTGCAGTTTCTTTTTCTGGGAGTCTGGACTAAAAGAAACAATTTTTTTTTGAAACGAGGACTAAAAGAAACATTAATTTCCACACAAATTGAAAAGAAAAAAAAACTAGGCAACGAACTGAAAGAAATGATAGACTGAACAATCACTGAACTGCATTATATACATTGAATCCTATTAACTTTCACCAAATTTTGTTTGTATGGAGCCAGCATGAAGGTAAAAACTTGATGACTGGACATTCACTGGACTGAATTATACACATAACACATTGAATCCTACTAACTTCCACTGAATTTTGTTTACTGGCAGCCTAAATGGAGAAACAAACTGATTGACTGAGCATAATACCCGGGGCTTTCTACATGAAAAAACAAATGCCCTACTGCTGAACATAGCCAGTATATTCAATGACTGAGACCCAAAAATTCTATCTGCAAGATCTACTATCCCTCGTGCTAATGAAGAGCACGTACACTGCACAAAATTGACACTGAACTAACAAAAATGGCAGAAGAAACACCACCACTTTGGGCCCAATAAAACACATGCTGCCACAACACTCCTGAGCTCAATCAATGAGCAATAACTCATTTTACATCACTGACAAAAGTTTTCTCATGTAAGAATCGAAACAAATCATTGATATGCTACTCTGGAGTGGGGTAGACAAATAGCAATGCTACCTTATAAAACTCCTACCTTGATATCTGAAATGAGCTGGTGAAAAATAAAATAAGAGGAAACTTATTTGTGTAAATAAAAAGGCATGTCTGGAATTTGATTCTATTCTTAAAATGTATAGACTGAAACCATTTGAAACACAGGTCTTTGTATCATAAGCATGTTTTGCAGCCATGTTTTGCAGCCAAGAAAATAGCGGCTTCGGTGCAACTTGTGCTCACTCGAGGAGGACGTCACTGCCACAGTTGCTCCGCTTGTCGACAAGAAGCCTAAGTACCTACTCATAAAGAAAAATAACTTCTTATTTGATGCACTTAGCATAACAACCTGCACACCAACAGAAAGGTCCTTTTGGCGATCCTGCTTCCACCAAGCTAACAAGAGCGCAACAATTTGTACGTCACAGACGAAGAGAAAGACTTGGGTACCAGAGCAGTTTGTATTAATTTTCTTGCCCCGGTCGTCGTCTTGTTCTCAGCTTGGCGTTCTTTGCACGGAGATCTTCTACCTGCATTATCAAAACGATGTCCAGAATGAATCAATGAGTATGCCTTTCGATAAAATATAATAATCAGGCCAAAGAATAATAAACATATATGCAACAATGCAACCATGCTTTCTTATAACTTCTACATGGAGTTATCAGACAAAATTAATGTGAACCTGTCATAGGAAATACAGTACAAAAGAACAGTGGTACATATAATAAACATATATCCCTCAATGTAACTGAAAAACAGCAGCAATTTAAATTCATGCTTGCCCTAGAATATTGAAATCCTTTTCTTGGCTTCTTACTGTCTTGCATACAACAGCAAGCAATCACAGAGATCAGAGATGGCAAGTCAGTTAACTGAACGAATGAACAACACTAACAAAGGGCAAGAGTTATTAGAACACATCCATCTCATAGGAGCAGCTGCTCATCAGCTCCAAACAACAACACCGCAGGTCCAGAACAGCAGCTTGCAAATGTTCTAGTGATCATCACAAGTTCACAACTGACAAATCACCACAAAACAAGCATAGCAAAGTTCTTATTTCTCTGACTTCTCCCAGGAGTCATAAAAAGACACAACCACACACACACATCAGTCACAAGGCATGATAAATTTGCAGAGTCCCACACACGATACAACAAACACGTCCATGAAGCTTAAACACTTGATACATGATAACTTGACAGCATGATGCGTCACGCGACCTCCTAAATCATCAGTCATTTTATGCCAGAATTTGTAATTGCGTTGTCGAAACCAGCCTCCTCCTCCTGCACATAGTCCTCCGCGGCTTAGGGCCTACGCAATGCCGTTGCACTCCAGCTCGCCTACCTGCACCTAGGCAAGCATCTTATTAAGAAGGCCTACTTATTCAACGACAGTTTCATCATTGTAAGATTGGGTGTAATCCACACAGGAGCAGGCCAGTTAGACCAAAGCTGAGGAAACACAAGGCTTTCCCAGCTATTATTATCCAAGCGAAGTAATCCTATATCGCGACGATTATCCTTATGTACAGTTATGTACTCATTATCTTCAGTAAAGTAGACACGATTTTCCTTGAGAGCAGGGCATTCTTTAGTGCTGAGACAGAGTGACTGGTTATGCCCAAGAAACAGCACATGGCCACGCAAGCAATCAATTTCCACAAGCTTCTTGGCAGCAACATCAACTTCATGTATTTTAATTCCCTTGGTGTGCAGCGTAAGTGATGAAATATCATCCTGATTACCACTATACACTTTCAATCTCCAAATAAGCAGCAAACCACCCCATGGAGCTTCAAGAATGTATGCTCCCTGAATCTCAAAATCGTCATCATCCACACCTATAATAATGTTCATTGTAACAGCAGGCTCACCAAGATCAAAGGTGTGGATTTCTCCCATTAGAGTGACTGCATACAATAGCCCGTCCTTGTAGGTGCAGTCAAAATAATCAGTGTGAGGTGGCAGCCAGGTCCACTTATCGTCCCCTACCCTTGCAAAGGATAGCTGACCAAACGGCATGTGGATGAGCACCACTATGTAGCTCCCTGTGGGTGTATCATAAAACACAAGAGCCTTTTGGTGGAAGACTTCCCGCAGGGCAGCTGGAGCAATTATCTTTGGAGGGCAGATAACTTGCTTTGCCGTGTGCCTTGAGTATGCATACTTGTGGACAGCACCCGAGTCATCACAAATGGGCTTCACGTGCTGCATCGTGGTCACTGAAGGGAGAGCAATCTGTTGACCAGTGATCGGATTGACAAGGTGCATTTCAGATCTCTCATCGACGGTGACCAGCAAGCCGAGAGAGGACCCAATCAGAAACCTACTGTGGAGAGGCGGCTCCGGGAGAGTTAGCCTGTAAACCCTCTTCTCCACAAGGCTGTAGAGACAGGCAACATTCTCGCTGGAAGATTCAGAGCAGTAGAGCAGGCACGGCGTCTGGGGCTGCTTGTGTGTGCCAAGTTTGCGCAGGGCAGTGTAGGCAGAGCGCCAAAAGGTGCAGACAGCACCAGCACGTACGAGGTCAGGGCTCTCAAGGGTGGCGAAGACACGCATCATGATGTCCTCTGGTAGCTCCAGGAGTGTAGTGCCTACCATAGCCTCAGTCGGTGATGGTCTGGAGAGTACATGATCCCATCCACTGAGCCAATGGTCATTCGATGGCAGTTTCATCACCGTAAGGCTGGGTGTAAGCCACACTGGAGAAGGCCAGTTGGACCAAAGCAGAGGAGACACAAGGTCCACCTCGCGATTATTGCCCAAGCCAACTACTCCAATATCACGAGGACTACTCTTACGGTTTTTATTGTACTCGTCGTCATCAGTAAAGTAGGCATGATTTCCCTTGAGAGCAGGGTAATCTTTGGCACTCAGACAAAGTGGATCGTTGTGCCCAAGAAACAGCACATGGTCAGGCAAGCAATCAAGTTCCACAAGCCTCTCTGTGCCATCATCAACTCTGTGTAATTTGATTTCCGTAGTATGTGGAACATATATTTCAGGGTCACCATCTTCAGCAGGATCCTCAAACTCTTTAAATCTTGAAACAAGCAGCAGACCACCCCATGGGGCCTCAACAATGTATATGGCATCGGGATAAAAATCCTCGTCAACTCCCCTAATAATCTTCATTGTAACAGCCGGACCACTAAGATCAAAGGCATGGATTTCTCCCTTTATATCCACTGCGTACAACAACCCATCCTTGTAGGTGCAGTCCTGATAGTGATGGTGTGGTGGCAGCAAGGTCCACTTTTCATCCCCTACTCTTGCAAACAAGAGGTGATTGTATGGCTCGTGGATGAGCGCCACGATGTAGCTTCCTGTGGAACGGAGGAGGCGGGTTTGAGATTTGGGGGTCGGAGAACAGTTGTGGTTTTTATTTTTCACTTGTCAAAAAATAGTATGATCTCTAGGGTACTTCTACTTATATCCCTATTCAGCCTTTTCACTTATCCGACCGGCCCCATCTTTATCTCTTCTCTGACTCTGACGAGGTCTGGTCTGACTCATCGTAGCTCACAGCAACGCAAGAGAGACACAAACAAAACAAAAAAAACGATAAACGAGCTAAATATCAAGAGGAAGCAAGACTACATACATGGCAAGGCAGCACTGACCATTAGTGCCACTCCAGAGGAATCAACCCGGCCGCAGCAAGGAATTCAAAATGGAAACGCCACCTCGTTCTTTCCCCTAGATAGCTTGGTCTATGCTCCTGTGCAAAGAACAAAACAAGAGGAAGCAGACTCACTCACAGAGGAAGTCCAAGTCGCACGCGCACCCCGCACGCGGATGGCTGACTACCTCTCGTATATATATATAGAAGCTTTAGAGCTCTACGGTCTATGGCCAAAAGGAAGGTCTGCCACAGATCGATGAGGTGGCGCCATCCAGTCCCTCTCTCCCTCGTTAATGGGCATCATCCACACGCGCATGCAACAGCCACTATTAACCACGGAAGGGAAGACGAGGCGTCAATTTCGCACGGTGATTGGCTCAAGCCCCTGCACGCCTCCTTAATCACCCAGGCATGCATATGCATTGAACGGCCAGCCGACATTAATTAATTAAAGATGTGTACCACCTACGCGCGCGTACGTAAAAGACACGGCCAGCTTGTGAAAAAAACATGAAGTTGGTTCCACATGTGCTCATCACATACATTTCATATAATGAAATCAAATAATTAGATCTTACCATCTTTTTTCCTTCTTTTTTGCTAGCACGTCTTTTTCAGGTAGCTGCTACTACTGGTTTCTTTTATGAGAATACTCTTCGCAATCGAGGGGGTACTCCTTGTGAACATTTTAACTTTCTTTTCTTTCATGATTCTCAGCTTCTGCTGGATACAATCCACTCACTCAATGTAGTTTTTGTTTTTGTTTGCTTTTCATTCCGGTGCCAATTTGTTTGAAATTCATTCATATATGTAGTAACCATTGTTCCAGGATGTTCAAGCCCTCTCTGGTTTGAGTGAATTATTTTAAAACACAACAAATAACAAAAAAAAGGGGCAGCCCCAGTGCATGTAGCTCCCGCTTGCGCAGGGTCTGGGGAAGGGTCCGACCACTTCGGGTCTATTGTACGCAGTCTTTCCCTACATTTTTGCAAGAGGCTGTTTCCAGGACTTAAACCCGTAACCTTATGGTCACAAGGCAGCAGCTTTACCACTGCGCCAAGGCTCCCCTTCCCCAGAGTACAAGATTTTTTTTTTTTTGCGATAGCACAGAGTACAAGATTACAAACTAAAGTTTTGCAAGAACTTCATGATTGATTTAGCGCAGCTCACAAACCCATTGTGCAACAAGAAAGAAACTAATTAACTCATCGTGATCGCAGAAAGAAGTTCAGAATATTCAGCAAAAGACATCCATGATTACAGTTCAGAAGAGTAGTAAAATCTTACATGTATCGGGATAATTTAACAACACAAAAGTCTTGCATGTACCACAATAATTACGTCATAAATGTATCAGAAGAACTAAACGTCTTCATCTTTGTTTATAGGCATAAACAAGGCACATGAGATGCTGCTCCAGATATTCCTCACCCAGGTTAACAGTCCAGAGCTCTCATTATATGGGTTGCAGCACACACACTGGCTCCTTCAGAACAATAATGCTTATTCTCCAGTTGTGTTCTTTGCAAACCCTGCCCACTTCACAACCACAAATACATAGACTTGATCGTACGCCTCGTCAAAGAACCGGAAGAAAGCAATTCTCCATGTCCTCTGGAACAACAGTGCACAAAACACTATCCAGAGCCCCGCCACAAGTCCCAGCACAAGACCAAAATGAAAGCTCAGTGGATCAAACTCTTGCTTGCTGCTTCCAAGATCACCATGGATAGAAGTCTCATTTCCTGAACAATTGTTGTCGAGAGGAGGCCCACAGAGTCCACTATTGCCGATGTACATAATTGACGGGTTGTCCGAATTGAGGGTGTCAAGTTGGCGACCAGAGGGTATCCTTCCAGACAAATTGTTGTAGGACAGGTTCAAGGCCTCCAACAATGTCAGATTTGAAAGTTCAACGGGATTTCACCAGAGAGCTTGTTCCCAGAGAGGTCAAGAGATATGAGTGACTGCATGGCCCCAATCATGTTTGGAATTGGTCCACTCAATTTATTTGAGGATAAATTCAAGTTCATCAGTGCAGCAAGGGAAGTGATGTCTGTAGGGATTTCACCGGTCAAAGAGTTACCTGATAAATCAATGCTCACAAAATATGCAAGTGTTGTACCATACAAAAGCTGCTGCCCTTTTGTAACTACTGATATTATTTCTGCAAGGTTACCAGCTCCCACCACAGTCACGTCGTCGAAATATTTATCAATCATATCCATGAATTCTTCTTGTACTTTTGTCAGAAATGATAAGTTTGATAGATGCCAAGGTATTGCACCAGAGAAATTGTTGCATGATAGGTCCAAGTATTGAAGATACATGAGGCTTGTTATGTTGACTGGAATATTATCAGAAAATGCATTGTGGTCTAGAAGTACAAAACGCAATTTCCCCAGATCTCCTATCCATGTAGGCAATCTTCCAGACAGCTTGTTCCATGCAAGATCCAAGAACTGCAAATCTGTGTTATTCTGCAAAAATGCTGGGAATTTTCCTGATAAACTGTTGTTACCGAGCAGAAGAAATTGTATTTTTTGGATGTCAAAGCATCGAGGAATTTCACCATCCAAAAAATTGTTTGACAAATCCAGATACAATAAATGTTGCAATTTGCAAATAGATTCTGGAATGTGCCCATCGAATCGATTTGAATAGATAAACAACATTTGAAGTTGGGAGGCTTCAAAATTTGATGGTATTACTCCTGAAAAGTTGTTGTTGGAGATGTCTAACACAGTTATATTTGTCAGAAACGAAGGTATTGATCCAGTGAGCCGGTTTGAGCTTAGATGGAGTTCTTCCAAAGCCATGCTATTCAGATGTGCTGGCAAGCTGCCACTTATTTGGTTATTAGAGGCGTACAGATGTAATGCCTGTGAAAATGTATTCCAAAACCAGTCAGGAAACTTATCCACTAAACCAGTGCTTGAGATGTCAAGCGAATAGATTCCCCGCAGTTGCTGAAGCCAAGCTGGAAAAAGAGGACCCATTTGGCAAGACTCAAAAAATGCAGTATATAACCTAAAGGGGGGACGCCAATCTGAATCCAGTGAAATCCTCAAATTAGTGAAAGACAAGTCTATTTTCTTTAAACATGTTAATTTTGCAAAGTGTTCTTTCGTGAGCACACCACTAAGGCTGTTGTTGCTTAGGAACAGATAAACCAGATTCTTCAGAGAACCTAATTCAGTGGGTACACTTCCATTGAGGTTTATTATTGGAGAAGTCTAGGCTGGTTAAGCTAGTTGAATGCATAACCTCTGGTGGTATAGGTCCAGTAATTTTGTTTCCTGAGAGAGTAAGGGAGGCCAAATGCTTCAAATTTCCAAGCTCAGCTGGTATACTTCCAATCAAGTTGTTGCAACATAGGTCCAAATAAGTCAGAGCAGTAAGGTCACCATTTTCAGTTGGTACATACCCGTCAAGCTGATTCCCCCAGAGACTAAGGACAGTTAAACGTGTCAAATTCATAAGCCCTGGCGGTATAGGTCCAACAAGGTTGTTGCTGTACAGGTTAAGCGTGCTCAAGCTGCTGAATGCCCCAATAATATTTGGCAGGGTGCCGATAAAATGGTTTGTATGGAAATGCAGCTCCACCATTCGTTCCCATGCACATCTCGGCAACCCCTCCAGCAACAACACTATATCTCCATTCATATAATTTGCAGAGAGGTCGAGGATTTCCAAACAACAAAGATTTTTTAGAACATTTTCAAAGTTTTCAGTCTTATTCAGATTGTTGCCTGACAAATCAAGTACCCTGAGTGACGTCATGTTTCCTAGTGCTTCTGGAAGTTTTCCGAATAACTGGTTCCTACCAAGACTGAGATATTTAAGGCTCTTCAGTTTCCAAAACCAACTTGATGCAACTGAGTGGCCTAAATTATTCCAGGACAGATCAAGCTTTTCAAGTTTCGTGAGGTTAAGGTAGGGAAGCGATTGGCTTGCAGTATCAAGTGAACATTCGGCAAGATTGATAACCCTTAGAGATGGAATCATATTCAATGTACCAGGCCAGTCATCCACCCTTGAGAGATTTATTGTGCTCATCCTAAGGTACTGCAGCAATGGTAGCTTTGTTAACCAGGTGATGTCCGTTGAATGCATCCTGTCGGTCCGGAGATAACCCTCGCCAAGGTCAAGATGCTGCAACTTAGACAGGTTACCAAGCTGAGAAGGAACTCTGCCAGTAAATTGCATGCCAGAGAGGTTAAGATATCTCAAGTTCTTCATGGAGCCCAAGAAATGGGGAATATGGCTATTTGGCCCTAGCAAACAGTTCATGCTAAGATCCATGTGCTCTAGATGCTTTAAGGAAAGCAGAGAGGGACTTATCTTGCCGAACAATGAATTAGCATCACCGCATACATCATAGTAGCGGCAGGAAATGCCAGGGTCCGGAATTGCATTGCGAAGGTGAAGCTTGGTGACATGGCCTGTTCGGTTGTTGCAACTGACGCCCCTCCACTGGCAGCAATTGTATCCATGCCACGAGGCGAGGACATCGCCGCCGTCGCTTGTGATGCCCTTGTGGAAGGAGAGCAAGGCAGCCCTCTCTACTGGGATGCAGCCCCCGCCATGGGCATGCTGGGATTGTAGTGCTAGTGCATGCACCACTTGTGAAAATGGAGTGATGCTTATGAAAACGAGGGTGAACAAGAGATTGGTTGGGCAAAGCATGCTGGAATAACAAGAAATCAGTAGCTGGGGAAGCATCATATGCAGCAGAGATGCCACAGGCTCAATATACCAGAGGCATACTACCAGAGATGTTTGGCCATAATAAAGTCTACGGTCCAAGTCCCACTGTCCCAGTCAATCAATCAAGTCTCGTTCATACAGTACAATTTTGTGGCTAGGCTGTGCTGGGTGTTATTGGCACCGGACTAGCTGCGCGCCTGCAATCAATCACACGGTAGTTGCGTGCCTGCAATCAATCACACTGTAATGTCGGTGTCACTCAATTATGTTGCTTAATCATGGTACACTCTAGACTGGAGCACGCTTAAACATTCCAGCCCCACCACATTGGTTTTCTACAATGTCGCTCTCGCTCGTTTAAGCTGTAGAGTTTTCAACTTCAAACTGCGTATGGAAGCAAAAATAAGAGATGAAAAGGGCATAAGCAGCACAAAATAACATAGTACCTTGGAGAACCTCCAGCAGATGGTGGATCATGATCCTCCAAGATCGATTTTAAATGGTTCGAGCAGATGGTCCATACGATCCCTCCGTCTGTTGACATGGTCAATCCTAACCTCCACATGTTAATTTTTGGGCAGAGGGGAAGCCGGAGGTGATTGGCCCCGTCGGGTTCACTCGGTAACTATTTACAGTACACGTAATTTCACTGTAAAATATAGTTGTGACATTTCTGCTTGTACACGGAAGAGCACTTAGTCATATTTTGTGTCCACCATATTATGATCACTATTCTTCTCTTCAAGGCTTCTACTATCATAAAGATATGAGCAGGCTGTTCTCCAATAGTTGTTGATTATCATAACCTAAAGATCTAGGTAAGCATCACACTTGGTCAAATTCAGAAAACAAATAGAAGTAGATTTAATTGGAAAGGGATATTGTTAGTATCGACCAGAAAAGTATGCATCATTAATGGAAAAAATTGTGAATATACAATATAGAGAGCGAAAGATCAGTACTGGCAGGATGAGCAAAGTCCATGTTTAAAAAATGAAAGTAGGCACTAATAATTTGATCAGACTTGACATCAATGGATTTTGGTTTAATTACTTGGTCTCAGAAAGCAAAAAGAAAAAGAAAGGGTGATCCATCTTCTGGAACAAAAGTATTATAAGAAAATTTTCTAATTATGAAAATAAGCGATAATTTGTTTGGATTCATACTATCTAGACCTTGCAAGGTGCTGCTGAATTAAAACTGAAGCAATATTCCTATAAATAATTGAGTCCTTGATGCGATATGTTGTTGCAAAGGAGACCCGTTCAAGTCTGCTTCATACAGTTTTATGGTTAGACTGTCAAAGTGACTCAGTTATGTCTTTGGTTACCATTCCACCAAATTGTTTTCTTACAATGTCGCTGAAACTCTCTACGGTTTTCAAACAACATATGACAGTAGAAAGAGGTTGAAAACGAGAATACCTTAAAGCATCTCTGGCTGCAGCAGGTGACATCGCGCGCCAATCCTTCCACTGTCCTGAACAAATCTGCTCCATACCCCCGACCTCGACTCCGCCGTGTTCAGGTGAGACGAAAACCACATGCGCTGTCAGAGTGGAGCCGGAGGTCATTGGCCGTCGGGTGGGTGAGGGATAGAGGCGGCCGTCGGTAGGACGCGTGGATGTGGCCGCCGCGCCGCCGCATGCGCCGTCGGTAGGCGAGGGGCGGCCAAGTGCTGCGTCGCCGCATCTGTGAACGGGGGGAGCAGGCTGGGGCGGCGTGGCTGGTAGAATGGAGGAGCAAAGCGGAGCGGCGCAGCGCGGCGTGGCTGGTGGAATGGAGGAGCAGAGCGGGGCGGCGCGTCTGGTGGAGGCGAGGTCGGCTAGGCCGGACCAGCGGGAGGAGGCCGACGATGGGGAGAACGAGCAGTGGTCAGGACGGCCGACGACGAGTAATATTAAGCTTTTGCCAAATTTTACCATGAATCAGCTAAATTTGTAATATTAAGTTCTCTGTTTAAGGTTTGGGTTTTCTATATCAATTGAGACACTTATTTTAGGACGGAGGGAGTAGTAAGGTACATGTGCATTTCTTTTTTTGTCTGACTATATCACATCTAGAAGTGAGATAATATCTCAGATCTAATATGATGTCATCCTACATCAGTGAGTAAATTGCAGAAAACCACCACTTTAAACACAAGGTTTGCGAAAACGACTATAATACATTTTTTTTGCAAAAAACACCGTGTCTTCGGTAATATTTTTTTGCAGAAAGCACTGATCGGCGGATCAGGCCTAGTTAAGCTTGTTTATGACAGGTGGGGCCCTTTTTTGCGTATGTGGCACCGTCGGCCGTCCCAACAGCCGTTAGACGGTGTTTGACGGCGCCATCCCCCTTTGTTTGATGGACCCGGTCAAAAGACCGGTCGATGCTGTCCCCACTCTGTCTCGCTGCTCTCTCGCTCACTCCTCTACCTTGCTCGCTGCACCCGTCGCCGCCTCGTCGCGCCCCTGCCGCCTCGCCATGGTGTCCTGGAGCGATTGGTCCGATAGCAGCAAGCACACCGTGGAGTACGTCAGCTCAGCTTCCGACGACGGCACCATTAAGGTAAGTTCTTAGATTTTTAGGGTTAGGGTTTGTACTCTGATTTAGGGGATTTGTTGAAGGAGCTTGTTCTCAACCTGTGGATCAAATGTTTGTTATTCGTATGACAGATCCCTGCTACCACTGAAGACTCCGATTTCGAGGGACCTGAAACGGAGTTGCATGTTCTCTGCCATGAACAAGGGAAGCCCGTAGAAAGGCGTGTTGCTTTCCAAGGAATCCACACTGGCAGGAGGTTTCTTTGCTGTGCTGAGAAGGTATATTGTGATTTATTTTCTCTGGATCTGTACTGTGGAGGCATGCATTGCAGTTTATTGTTAAGTTTTGTTGTATTGTTAAGTTAGGAAAGTGGATCACAAGCAATTGTTTACTCTGGTAGCATCTTTTCCCCTTGGTCTGGCAACATTGTTAAGTTAGGTCATTTTGTTTAGTGTAGCATGCTATTAATAATTTAAGACAGAATATGCATGGGTTAGTGGAGCAGGACAGATGATGCAACTTGTTTAGTCTGCAATGTTAGGTCTTTTGATTGCTTTTGTTTACTTTAGAGCAGACTTCAAAGCATCATCAGGGTCATTTGATTGCTTTTGTTTACTTTAGAGCAGGACAACATTGTTTACTTTAGGACAGGTTTAAGTAGTTCTCTCTTCAGCTTGCAAGCTCTGAATTTGAGGATAGTATTTAAATAATGTAGCATGTAACCAATTTAAACATTGTTGCTTGGAAGCATTCTAGTGTATTTGTTTATGTTAATTCTGATATATTTTTCCAGGAAGGTAAAAACTATGGACTAGTTGAATGGATTGATCCAGCTTGGCCTAACACCCTTGAGAATGCATTATCCAAGTTATGGTTTATGTATGAACAAACTAAGAGAGACAGGACTGAGGACAATCTGATGCATTTATTTGTTGTTCATGACTTGACACAAGAGAAGAAGAAGCTGCAAGAGAGCTACAATAAGTCGGTTGAAGATGTCAATGGACTTTTGGATGCTCAGGAAAGGAGGGCAGAGGTAGAAAGGAAAGATCTTGAAAGCAGCAAGCTTCAAGAGAAGTATGACATGGTTAAGAACCTAGCAGCTGCTCAAGCTAGTGTGATTAAGAACACCAGGCTGAAGCTAGCTGCAGAGAGGAAGAATATGCAGATCCAAATTGATGAGCTACAAAAGACAGTGGAACAAAGCAATGTGAAGCTGGAGGGTGTCGGTGTCAAAACCGGCGGATCTCGGGTAGGGGGTCCCGAACTGTGCGTCTAGACGGATGGTAACAGGAGACAAGGGACACGATGTTTTTACCCAGGTTCGGGCCCTCTCGACGGAGGTAAAACCCTACTCCTGCTTGATTGATATTGATGATATGGGTAGTACAAGAGTAGATCTACCACGAGATCAAGGGGGCTAACCCTAGAAGCTAGCCTATGGTATGATTGTTGTTTTTTCCTACGGACTAAAACCCTCCAGTTTATATAGACACCAGAGAGGGCTAGGGTTACACAGAGTCGGTTACAATGGTAGGAGATCTACATATCCGTATTGCCAAGCTTTCCTTCCATGCCAAGGAAAGTCCTATCCGGACACGGGACGACATCTTCAATCTTGTATCTTCATAGTCTTGGAGTCTGGCCAATGATGATAGTTCGGCTATCCGGACACCCCCTAGTCCAGGACTCCCTCAGTAGCCCCCGAACCAGGCTCCAATGACGACTAGTCCGACGCGCATGTTGTCTTCGGCATTGCAAGGCGGGTTCTCCTCCAAATTCCATGTGCTTGACGAATGGTGTCCGGCTTCCTTATAAATGTTGCGCTTCTTGGCTTCCACGTCCAATAATGGCCCTCTTCCACGTGTCGTACGAATGCGAAAAGCCAGGGTATTTTTATACTTTACCCCCTAGCTGCACAAATAAGCTGCCTATAAGAGAGGCGAGGATCTAGATCCGAATCACACCATCCTCCTTCCGCAAGTATTCATCGAAGTGCCTCTGACAAAAATCCACTCCATCATGGACAGTCGACGCGGCTCCTCCTCTCGCGCTCCCAGCCCTCAGCCAGGAGATTGGGGGAGATGTTCAGTCCCGCATAGCGAGCTAGTGACGCTCCAAGCAGAGGGATATCTTCCCCCAGCCTTTATGGTTCCAGTTCGAGCCGGACTCGCCACCTACAAGGGCGGAAAGCAGGCGGAGAGCGTCCCCAATCCCTCCAAAGGAGAGCGGGTATGCTTCGTCCCTTATCTAATAAGGGGACTCGGATTTCCCATACATCCGTTTCTCCGGGGGCTCCTGGAGTTCTATGGGCTCCAGCTTCACCACCTTACGCCTGCCTCCATCTTGCACATCGCGGGCTTTGTAGCCCTTTGCGAGTTGTTCTTGGGCATCGAGGCCCATTTTGCGTTGTGGAAGAGATTGTTCTACCTCGTGCCCCGTTCTCACGAG